GTCACACACTTCCTCAGTCCTCAGGTTGTCGCTCTCAATGTCTCTTTCGTCTCAGGGCAAATTCGTAAAAATCCATAAATTAGCCGCATCATTGTTTAAGCCGCAGTGTTCAAAGTTTGTGAAAAAAATCGTGGCTTATAGTCCGGAATTTACGGCACTTAGTGCACGTGCAGGAGCTCATTCGCATGGAGGCATGCATGAGAGAGCAGCTTCAATTGATTGAGTGCTCCTTTAAGTGCAGCAACTACACCACATGTCTGCATAAGCACAACAACACAATTCCCAGCCCAACTGTAGTAAAATCAGTTTTTTATTTCTGCTTAAAAGACGAGGGACTCCTGTTGCTTCTCCTACAATCCCCCAATGAGCGAACAAGCTTTCGGAAAAGCTTCTCCGTCTTGGCAGAGCGGCGCTTCCACTCAATGGATGCTTTAATGATTCATCGTGTGGCGAGGATGGGCAGTTAGGAGAGTTTCTGCATGTACAGCCTTTGATATTCACACACTTTGATATGTCTATCTGCCAGAAACATCTTTCAAATAATCTCTTTCCAATCCATGTCTCATTTGCCGCTTCCTCTTAAAAACCTGAACTTGGAAAAGCAAGAGGTCTCTTTCCTGCTGGGCGAAGCACAGAAGACGGAAAAATAGATTGGAGTTTGATCAAACACGCCGGGTTAGCGTTTGGCAGGAGGAAAGAGAAGCTCAAATGTGTTCAGGTTTGTTGTTTCGCTGAAAGATCAGGGTTGGAAGTTGGATGAGTTGAAGCTTGTTTGAGGTCGAGTTTGGAGGTTGTTGTTTTTTTTTGCTCCGTCACTGCCGGTTATGTTGTTGAGGATTCTTTACAGAGGCCTCACCCAAACTGTCAAACACAACAAGATGAGAATATCTGTTCTGTAGCAGTACTCCTGCATAATTATACGCCACAATAAGCATGATATGTGTGGTCTCTCTTTGATGTGAAGGAAGCGTCTCTTCTCTCTCTCTCTTTCTGCTGCTGCATCAGCATGATTTACTTGTGTTTACTCATACGGGCTCTCTTAACTACCACCCGTAACCCGGACTCATCACCGTAATGCAATACAATCTGGTCTTTCTAATCAACTCCTTCAGACAGTCTTTGAAGTGGAGCGCGGATCCCCTCTCACATGCACGTTGTGAATTCTGAATGACTACATTTTCAGACACCTCACTTGCTGTGTGGGGGCGTAAGAGGCTGTCAATGCGCGCTTCAGACAGGCCCGTGTCAAGCTCCTCGCTCCGAAAAAACACCACACTGGAGCGGGAGAGATGTAATTGAATTACTGCTGTTTCATTGGGGAGAGACACGTGGGTTAGTGGTGGTGGTGCTGGTGGTGGTGGTGGTGGTGGGCTTTGTCCTCGGGGAGTGTTTTGGCGGGGGCCATCAGAGAGAATGGAGTAAATGATTGGGAGCGACGGAGCAGAATAGGAGAAGAAAAAGAGCAGAGGGCAGGACTCGGGGGTTGGTGGAGAGCAAGCAAAATGCCAAAGAATCACTAGTCTTTGTTTTGCCTTGATGGAGGGAGACACTGGTGTTTTTTAATGTTTCTTTAAGGGGTGTGTTCGCTGCTCACACAGAAGAAGAATCGGGAGGCAGAATCCGATTTTTTTTTTTTTTACCCGAGAGCTGTGAGAGCGGATGTATCCATGCCGAAAATAAGTGGGCGAAGGAGGCAGGCACAGAAATGCTGCATGTGCTCGTTTGGATGGAGATGCACAAATAAGCTTTTTCAAATTGCCAGTCACATCCGAATTCCCATCAACTTTGCACTGAACTCAAAACTGATCCCAACGCACCCCAGACCGGAGAAATCCTGAGAAATGCTCCCTCTAAGTCCCGATATTACGGATGCTAAATGACCAGATGAGACTTCTTGCTGAGCCCAAGAAATAAATACACGAGCCAGTTTCATGTAGAAGTAATGTAATGCTAACGAAATTACACTGTGTGCTTGTGAGATTGTGATTAAAATGTTGCCACATGTCACCATTTCTCAGACTGTATCGCAGGATGTTAAATCTATTAAAGTTAGACAATGCGTCTCTGACATGGAGGGCTTTTAGCTGGATCAATACATGAATATTCCCTCTCATCATTACCATGGAAACTCCTGGGACTATTTTCTCCCCATGGGGAGTGTGACTGTGCAGTGAACTTTTCCACAGTCTTGATTCAATTTCTTTCTTTTTTTTTTTTTTAGGTCCTCACAACATGGCGTCTCTATTTCCTGGCGCCAAAGATTCCCGCTAAGGTACTTCTTTTCAGCTCTCTATAGTTAATGTGCAGCACAAGGCTTTTCTTTTCAGCTGAACTCTTTGTTGACTGTGTCTTTGACAACAGGTAGAAACCACCTTCAACTTTCTGGAGATTCGAGCTTTGAATTCTCACCCTGAACACCAGGTGAATAGTCACATTTATATGAATCTCTGCATGCGCTCCACTTCACTGTAGCAGCTGAGCTTTCTGTACACTTGTATAATGCAGCGGTTATATCACGTTGGCCTTCAAGGCAAGACAAAAGCATTTACAGTCTTTGTGGAAGCAGCCGCGGTGACAGTCACTGCTGTCGTATTCACGTTTTTCTTCTGTGAGGTGTGATGACAACAACACTGTGACTCAGAGTTTTATTGTTTTCTTGGCACAGCATGTGAAGGACTGTTAATTTTTACCTGCTCCAGATGTTTACTTTTGCCATTGCTTGTGGGATTAATAAAAGAAATTAACAACCCGTAACTTAAAGTGAACTAATTTCACAGATTCTGCTTTTTTTTTTTTTTTTACCCCACACTCTTCTACCCCCATTTGCTTTAAAGGCAAGTTCCTGGAGTCTAGATTTTGGCTCCTGGTTTGCGATGCATCGAACACCACAGCTAGTTGCACAGTGTGAAGCCAAATAAAAGTTGTGGGGAAAAAAAAAAAATTGCGACTGCCTTATATATGACAAAATATACAAACTATTTGGAAATGATGTATTCATTTATGAATGAATCATTTCCTTTTAGAGGGATTAGAGGTTTGTAGGGGAATTCTCTGCAACAGAAAGAAAAAATTACAAATGACAAATCTTAAAGCTGCTTGGAACTTTTCTCATGTATTGCTGGCAAAAGCATCTGAAGTCGTTACTTGCTTTGGATGACATTCAGATTTGGCTTTGTTGACTGATGCTGACACATTTTTGGTAGAGAAGGACAAAGATAAATGTAGCAGAGAAAGACCAATAACTGATATTTGGAATTGATATACATTAAACATATTAACAGCGTGTGAATTATTTGGATGTTTGCAGTGTAATGAGGAAACTGGGCACGCTTGTGTTTGTTTGCAGTCTTTATTAAATCTTTAAAATCTGCTACCTTGTCTTCAAAACACAGCAGAGCTGCTCAGTTCTGCAAATGTGTTCATCCGTCCCTGTCTGTAAACAGTAGTTTTCAGAGTTGATTGGCTGTTACATGTGACGTGTAACCAATCAGATGCTGCTATGGGCGGGACATTTCATGAGACAACAGGGCAACTACAGAGAGAAAAGCTGCATTAGAAACCAGAGTAATCATTTGATCCCTATGTTGTATTCATCATACAGAGCTTTGTGGTGTTGATTTAAATGATCAAATGATTTAATCACGTTGCCTCGTATGGTGGCAACAACTGCAGACTACCTAATTTTGGTCCACGTCATTGTTCGTGTCGCCAAAATATCTCAGTGCAACTGATGCTGTGTTTCTTTTTTTGCATCCAAAGCTTCCTTTTCAGTGTTTCTGTCCTGTTCCTCATTCATTTTGCTGCACATGTGGGGTCTGAACATCAATGAATTCTGTGTCTTTCATTTTCTAAACAAGTTTTTTTTTTTTTTTAAAGCTGCATATCTGAGATCTCTTAAATTTGCCTATTTCACATTGCACTGTTTGCATGATCGTGCAGCCATAGCTAAAAAAGATATGTCTGCTGTGTACCTTTGAGAGTACTGTAAGTATTATCGGAATATGTATATATGTGTGTGTCTATTTACAAGTTATCATATGTATAAAAAAAAAAAACACACACACATTTAAAATGTTTAGATGTTGCAGACAACAGTGTAGACCCTATGACATGGGAAGCTCCAGCTTTGAGGTTGTTGAGTTGCTGCAGTGGAAAAGAGCCACAATATGACAAATCAAATAGTAGATATAAAGGTGCACTTGGCCATAAGCAACAGGCAACATTTTATCCCACTATTTACACTATGAACATTTAATACACATAAATATAACTATAAGCAGATAAAAGGTGTTTTTAAGTGTTTACTGCTGTCGCTGTCAACAACTCTAACTCCTCCTGTGAAGCGGCACCGCCTGAAAACTGATGTATGAACAGATAATGAACGAGAACGTGGTTTAAAAGGTGAAATATAAGATGTAGTCGCCTCCCTGCCAAAGTCATTTTCACACAGCCTCTGACGGTCATATTTTCTGTGCAGGTTATTATCGACACTGACAAGTCCAGTTACTCCCTGAGGTTTGAGTCGCGAGAGCACCTCAATCATGTGGTCAGCCATATCAATTTCGCCCTCTCCCGAATATTCAACAACTCCATTTTTGCGTAAGTGTCACTATCTCGCATGATAAAATCAGAATAATTCACCGCGTGTCTGTGCAGCGGTGGATAACCAGAAATCGCCAAGAAGAATGACCTTTATTTGCGCAATTATCAGAAGATAAATGATTCCTTACAGTATCTGTGCTTCTTTTATGTTCGCAGCCCTTCCATCTGTCATTCAGACAGTGACCTTTCTGAGGGCAGCAGGAAGTACTCGCCCAGCTCCGAGACTTCAGTGGAAACCCAGAGGGCGTGTGGTAAAAGAGACGTTATCATCAAACATGGGAATCTGCACACAGGCACACACACATACGAGCAGAGATATTATGTACACCACTTGACAGACTCGAGAGGAAGCTGGCACGCACACACACCTCACAAATGGTCTCCCAGATGTTCTTTTTAGTGCCGTCACTCAAATAAAAGATTGATAATTTGGACAAATGTGCCTGTGTGCATTTTCCTCCCCTTTTCTCTCGCTTTACTGCCGAAGGAAGCAGCTGTTCGCATCATCTCACATTCTTTTTTTCCTTCCCCCCCCTCCCCTCCTCTTTCTCAGGAGGCTTCTCGGAGACCTACGCCGCTTTGTGCGACTATAATGGCATCAGCTGCAAGGAGGAAGTGCAGTGGGTAAGAGCTGTGGGACTGTGCCTGTGTCGCTGTGAGTGCTCTTGAGTGTTACGTATAGCACTGTGCACAAAATGTAGGGAGGGTCGTATGTACTGCAGCTAACAGGCTCATGGGTAATGTCGCCCCCAGGATGTCGACACCATATATCACTCCCAGGACAACCGAGAGTTTAACCTGCTGGATTTCAGCCACCTGGAGAGCAGGTGAGGGACGGAGGGCGGTCAAAAGCGATTACTTCCCAAAGACTGTGCTTTGTTCTCGTTTACCTCAGTTTGGTCTCTTCTAGGGATTTGGCCGTGATAGTCGCATCGATGGCGTACAACACCTGGTTCACCAAACTGTACTGTAAAGACCTGCGCATTGTAAGCATGGACTTATCTGGTTAAATTAGGGTTTTTTTAAGCAGCAAAGTAGACCAAAAATTTGAATGTGTCCCTTCTGCAACAGGGGTCAGAGGTCACGGAGCAGGTCCTGCACACGGTCAGCAAATCCTCCAGCCTCGAGGAGATCACTCTGGAGAACGCCGGGTTGAAATCGTGAGTACCTTCACACATTATGTCACTATCAGTGTCATTCTGGGTTGGCTTTTTAACCCTTTGAACATGCCATTAGGTTTGAAAGACAGGTATTCTTTTTAAAAAAAATTACACTAAATATCACAGCCAGAAAGTGTGAAAACAGGAAGAATTTTCAAGTTTTAGACAACCTTGGAGCTCTTTATCTGCGATGTGACGGTTGTCTAAGGTTAAACTTGTGATATTTCATCAAAAACACATCGTTCTAAAAAATCGTCAAAAACAAACCATTTGCACAAAAAAGACTGTAAAAAACATAAAAGCACAATTGATGGCAGAATCAAGAATATTTTCTTCTACATGTCTGATTTAAAAATAAACTGTTTGCTTTAATCAGACTCAGTAAAAAATAAAAATACAAAAAAAATCTGCATTCTTGGAAAACATGGAGTCATTAGTAATTCAGCTACAACTGACAGTCACCTAAAAAATGTGTTGACTTTCTGACTGAACTCGGCTGAACTGCAGGCTGTGGAACAAAGGAGACATGTATGGAAACAAATAATAAAGGAATAAAATACCTAAATGTGTAGAGTCAACATTTGTTTCTTTTTAGTTACATCTATGGGAACTACTTGCAAAAATGTTGCACGTGTTAACTCAAAGTTTTTCAAGTTTTAAAAAAATAAATACTTAAAGGAATCCAACTTTCACATTTTTATTATTACTGAAAATACATTTTTTTCTAGCCATGGTTGTGCTTCTTCCATAGAGGTGCATGACTTTATAATTCAGTAAAAAATGAGCCCACTGTGAGTAAAATTATGACAGGAGTAAAGAACACCCAGAAACTGCTGGGAGTTCAGAGGATTAACAGAACAGCCTGTGATACCAACTCGTAGCTGTGGAGTATTGTGGGTAATTAACAAAACAGTAAACAATCAATACTCATCATACGAAGAGGATGTAAGTGAGCATCGCTCAGGCGCTGCTGCTTCGATCTACGACATCTATTTATTAAATGTCTGTCTGTGAAGGGAATGTTGAGTCCCATTAGTGGTGCAACAAATACATGTAAAGCGAACGTCCTCATGTTTTGGGCTGTAAATAAGACGAAAAATGGAATTTGAAGACATCACCTTGAACTCTCAGCGCTTACAATGGACATTGTGATGCTCACAATGGCTGACAATGAAAATCGTCTGTTAGTTGCAGCCTTTGTGTGACTCTCCGTATGTGACCGTGTTTGCAGAGACTTTCCACAGAAGATGTCAGCTGCTCTTTCAGAGAATCCTGCTTCTGTCATCCACTCTCTAAACCTGGCCCACAACTCACTGGACAACCAAGGTATCACAAAACATCAGCTTCTCTTTGTCTTATTCAGTGTAGCTGCTTATAAACTGAGGTTCAGGTCTGGAAACGTGCTGTTTTTATGACTCTTATTGCTGTCGTTCAAAATCTGACCTACATGTATTCTACAAAATGAATACGTAAGAGGAAGTTTGAAGGTTTTCAGTTTTTAAATGTGTTAGTTTTAGTTTTCCTACTTTGCAAATAAAGAGAATAGAAAAATAATTAAAGAAAATCTCCCTCGTGTGAAAGTTCATCTGCCAGCTCAGCATTTATCTCAGTAGACTATACATCGCAACGATAGAAAGTATTTGCCTAGCCGTAGTGTTTGGGGCGAAAGAAGACGAGCACACAAAAACATACTTTTTGGTCATCAGGGGTGTTACATCGAGCATCAATTTAAACTTCCACCTGTCGTCTCTCTTGTGTTTGTGTTGCAGGTGTGTCCAACCTAATCCAGCAGGTGTGTCGCCTCAGCAAAGGACTTCGTCTCCTCAACCTCTCCAAGACCTCACTCACCTCCAAAGGTTTGAACTAGTCCGAGCGCCGTTTGCAGGATTTGCTCCCGTTGGAGACAGTAACTCAGGGGAAAATTAGTTGATTCACCTGCAGCTCTCGCAGCTCAGGTTAGATCACACTTTGGATTAGGGGATTTAAAACCTCCCGAGCTCCAGATAATTCTCCCCTCAAGAGCTTTTGTTTCATCTTTTGGCCCCGTTACGACTCCATATTGACTTATGATGTCTCGCGCTGCCCCGCAGGCAGCATGCCTTCCTCTTACCGTCTCATCTTCCCCGTGTACCCAGTGGAGAATTTAAATATTACATTGAATTGCGCTGCTTCCCATCCACTGATACCTGCTGCTGCAAGACGTGTATGAATAATGTAGCAACACAAAATGTTTTGAGTGCGTTCTTCGTCTTTAAGTATTGTACACCCTTTTCCTCCTGTCACTCACTTTTTCTCTTTTTCACTTTATCCATGTGCACTCTGTTGTTCCTCAGGAGTGGTGTCTCTCTCTCAGGCTCTGTGCTCCAGCGATGAATACTCCAACTCCCTCCTGCACCTGGACCTGAGCAAGAACCCCGGGGTCCTCTCAGGGGAGGATGCCTCGGTCAGACAGCACAACCCATCTGGAAACATACAAAACACACACACACACACACTGCTCCATTTACACGGCACTTTTCCAGGCTAATGCAATGCCTCTCTTTTTCTGGCTTTCTGTTTTTTTTTTTTCTTTGCAGAACTTGTATCTCTTCTTGTCTCAGCCCAACTGCCTGGTCCACTTGGATCTGTCTGGCACCGACTGCTCCGTGGACTCCGTGAGTTATTTAACGGCCGATCAAATGTTTATGTGCAAAAAAACCTGCAAATTCTCAGCCAGAATTAACCGTTTCCGCCCTGTGTCTCATGCAGCTATTTGGGGCTCTTCTGAGGGGGTGTTGCGCTGATCTCTCCTTTCTGAATCTTTCCAAAAATTCCTTCTCCCACAGGTTAGTCACATCTTTAAGATTGCCTAAAACAATAAAGGCAGCCCTGAATCCAAATCTGAGAAGATGTCATCCCTATTTCACCTTAGAGGCCTCAATTTTCCCCTCGTGTCATCCTCTCGTTTCTTTCCCTCTTCCCTTTTTCCTCGGTCATTATCTTCATCTCTTGCTTAATGGGAAATCAGAAATGAGCTTTGTGGGAATCACTGGAACATTGTGTTTCCTCACTGTGGGTGTGTCTGCCGCCGTTTAAAACCGGAGCTCTCGGTGCTGTCTGTATAGATAAGACTCATGAATATTTAAAGAAGAGCTATCTATCATTTGACCCCACTCGCTCCCCCCTACCACCACCACCACTCTTACACTGAAGCAATATTCACTCATCTTTCTCATTCTGTCAGAGCTCCACGCTCGGCGCTGCGCTCATATTTAGCCAGCATGTCAACAATGCGACTTCATCTCCCGTGTGTGGCCCATCTCATCCCATCTCATTCTCTGTGTTGCCTCTCGGCCTCTACGTCTCCACCTTTTTGATCCTGTTTTTTAATTGTAATCCAACAGGAAAGTGAAGGACACGCTGCCGTTGTTCCGTCAGTTCTTCAGCTCGGCCTTCAGCCTCACTCATGTCAGCCTAGCCTCTATGAAGCTGCCCCCTGATGTTCTCAGGTAGCTGCACTGTAGTCTCCCTTTCATCTCAACCGCTCTTCGATGCAGGCAGGGGTTTTGTTTTTCCTCCCCTCTCCTCTTCTTTACTTTGTCAGTCACTCCTCTTCCTCTTGTCTCCACAGGGCTCTTCTGACAGGGTTAACCTCCAATCCTCATATCAATGACCTTCATCTGGACATCAGCGGCTGCGAGGTAAGAGCTCATCTTCACATCTGCGGTGGATTCCAAAGGCGGAAAGCGCAGCTTGATCTTTAGCAGAGCAGCAGCTCCAGTGTGTCACAACAGACGGCAGAGTTGTCGGCGTTGTAGGTCACCTGTGACTTTGAAGCACTCAGAGTCACTGTAGTGGGACAGAGCACGGTTTGGGTTGCATTTACAAGCGTATAGCAGTTTCAGCGAGGAGACATCGTTTATTGCAGAAACATGAGCGTGCTGAGTATTTTGGCAGCTCGACTCCTGTGAGAAGCAGCATCACAGAGCCTCAGATGAAGGTGGGAGATGAGGACAGGACCCCCGGAGTCTAGACGTTGGTGGTGTTGGAGCAGAGTTAGCAGATGGCTTGCTGAGACTCCCCGGACAACCTGATGAGCTGGAGACGGGGAGGAAGAAGGCTGCACGATCGACAATCTGAAAGGGAGAGTGCCAGGATTGCACTGAATTTAAAAACAGGGTCTAGAGGCTGATTGGCTCAGGGAACGCTGGCAGATTGAGCGTTGGGCAAGAATAGTGAAAATAGTGTGAATAAAATGGAAGTGACAAAGGAAATACAGCAGCAGGAACAGACTATATTTACTTAGAGGAGACAAAAGCATAAGCTTCATGAACAAACTGTGAGCCTTTACATGGCCTCTGTACACAGCTGGACTGTTGTTTTAGATGTGCATGAACTGAAAAACCAGATCAAGTTACAGGAGTTTAATTCAGTTTTTCTCCTCATCCAGAATGTAGGAAATTCATGGATGTGTTTGTCTTTCCACATGCAGTTTACGCCTCTGAACCCCCAAAATCTGCCAGAAGGGTTCAAAGGGCTTATTATGATTTTAAAAATCACAAAAATTACACCGTTTAGCAGAAACTGTAAAAACAGGACGATTTCCAAATGCGCCATTCTGTTGGAAAACTTAATCAAATCCAATTTTTAAATTGTACTATTTCATCAAAATCACCTAATTCGGCATGTCACATTTCAAAGTCCACCAAAAATGATTCGTTTGCTCCAACTACATACTGTAATAATCAAAAAATGTATTTCTCAGTGCAACTATGAAGCTATTTGTGATTCACCTGTGACTGACACTCACCAGACAAATAATCTTGGACTCCTGAACTGTAGGCTGCGTTTACGTAAAACAGATATTTCAGACAATTTTGATTCCACTCTGCTTCTAGCCGTGGTTGTATTGTTTCTACAGAGGTGGATTATTTTGCAGTGAAAATAGGGCCCACAGTGAGGAAAAATGTGACAGGAGGTAAAACAAAAAACTTCCAGAAATGGCTGGCAGTGATTAGTATTCAGAGTATTCAGATCATTTACTAAAAGCTGCTGTAAAACACAGTTTCATACCAACGTTATACCACATGACTGTATGTAATGGAAAACGTTGCTCTTGATGACAAACCCACAAAGACTTATCTTCTTAGCACCAATCAGCTGACAGAAAAACTTAGCTTCACGCTGACACAGTGGACACTCAGCGGTTAGAGATCGAGATAGTTCTGTCAGAAAAAAATTAGCTAAAATGGGAAATGGAAATATTGGACTCGCCAAAAATGTTAAATCTGCTGAGTGTGTAAATAGGCAGCTAGTTTGCTAACAGTCTGCTAAATGATTCCTATTGGATTAGCCACAGCATCTGTTATAACTACACAAATTCTATTTAATTGTCTGCCCTATAATGTCTGATATAGGTTGCTTTTAATGAGGAAATATTGAAAGAATTCGACCAGCGGGTTATTGATTAGAATATATCAAACTGGTTCCAGTCTGCGCCCTCAGCTTTAACGATGGAAACGTCTCTGTACCGCTGAGCCAAACAAAGCTCAGTCTGCTTGCAGGGGCATAAAAGCGGCATCCATAAATTTGCCCTACTGTGGAAAAATAGAACAATTCCCCAAAGACTGGACCTAAAATGACTCTGATTCATGTCTGTGCACATGTTGGTTTTCAATTCTCTCCGTTTCTCTCCAGCTAAGGTCTGCAGGAGCTGCTGTAATCCAGGAACTCTTCCCCAGAGTCTCCTCCATCGGCACTCTGGATGTCTCCGATAACGGTACAGTGGCACGCTGCAACACATCCCACTGTGACCTTGACTTCTTGTCCTCGGGTGGGAGACGTTTGAGTGGGCTGCTAATGGATCGTGCCATGTTTGGCTTCATGTTTGTGTGTGTGTGTGTTGTTGCTGACAGGTCTGGATGCAGACTTGCTCACAGTGCTGCCAGCTCTCTCCAGACACCCCTCCCTCAAACACCTTCATCTGGGCAAGAACTTCAACATCAAAAACAGGTGCTGCCAGTGCTCTCTGTCACGCTTTACTGCAGTTATTTATGGATGTACTGTACGTTTGTGTGTCTGTGCGCGCATCCGAACACGAGCAGCCATGCCCTGCATATGCCAGCTTGAATATACACGTCCGTGATTTTTACTTGTGTTCTTTCGGCTGCTGCTCTTCAGGCAGGCGGCCTGCGAGCAGCAGGAAGTGACTTGTGCCAGCTCATCCGGCCTCGTCTGTGTGTTTGTGTCTGCAGGGTTCTGGATGAAGTCATGCAGAAGCTGGTTCAGCTCATACAGGAGGAGGAATGTGTGAGTGATTGAAATATGTAATAAAAAAATGTATTAGCTGTTTGGTGGCTAACATAATAAATATAAAATCACAAATGGGCTGCACAGACACATAAAATATAATATTTTGGAGGAAAAAATAATAAACTCATTTGACTTTAAGTGCTAATTTTGTTTAAGATATTGATTTGTGAAAAAGATGAATAATGTCCACTTTACCCTCTGAACCTGAAGCACTTTCTGATCTTTTTTTTTTTGCCTCTATCACATTTTTATTGATTCTAGGCTCATTTTTCACTCCAACATAGAGTCCTGCACTTCTATGGATGTCTTGCCTTCTTTGTGCAGTATGATACAGTTGGAAGCCATAGAATATAAAAAAGTAGAATTTATTGGACTATTTATTTTACAAAAACTGGAATCAACGTGTACAACATTTTTGTCATGTGTCCACAGATGTTACAGACACCGGACAAAAGAGTACTTCTATATCGTATAGATATTTTAATACTTACATGTTTTATTTGTTTCCATACTTGTATCATATCTGCTCTGTGTACACATGGCCTGCAGTGCAACCTGGTGTAGCTGAAAAGTCCCTGAATTTTCATCATGTCACTGTTTGTCGCAGCCTAGTCAACATAGGCATTGTGATTGTGCCAATGAGCGCAGATTTTTTTGTTTTTTACAGAATCTTGTTCGTGCAAATGGTTTATTTTTGGAAAAAAATTTTAAATGAAACAAAATTAAGAAAAATCCGAGTTTTAGGCTTAGATGTCTTTAATAAGTCATGGCAAGGTTCAAAATCTGTCTGTATGTAATTCCTGCATTTTTTGTTGTTGTCTTTTTAATATATAGATAAGATACCTTTGAAACCCACCAGTGGGTTCTGGGGTTTAGAGGTTAAACCTATCATCATAACTGTGACTGCTAAACTACAACGCAGCTTCCTGGACGCGCTATTTTTGCCTTAAGTTTTGCTGCAGACGTGCCGCTGTGTCATGAATTATTACTGTTCCCCTGTTAGCGCTGTGTGCTCAGTGTCAATATCCCAACACACACATATTGTAAATAATTCATGTATACAGCATGTAAAAGTCATGTTGGCGAGCTGTCACATCACCATGCAGTAAATTGCCACTGCACTTTATCCTCTTCTCTTTCCCCTGCATTTCCCCTCATTTATTTATAAATGCCCCCAACACACACCCACACACACATACTATTAACTCACATTTCATATTTTTCGTGTTTGTTTCCCTTCCTTCTCCAGGCCCTGCAGTCCCTGTCGCTGTCCGACTCGCGCCTTCGCTCTCGTGGCACCGTGCTGGTCAACGCTCTGGGCAGCAACACCTGCCTGAGAAAAGTGGACCTGAGCGGCAACAACATGGACAACATCGGAGCCAAGATGCTGAGCAAGGCCCTGCAGATCAACACCACGCTCAGGTGAAGGAAAGAGAGAACGAGGTTGTTTCTTGTGTCTTTGCAGTGACTGTATGTGGGTTTCCTGTATATGCAACTCACGCCTTTGCCCTGCAGGAGTGTGACATGGGATCGCAACAACACCTCCGCAGCAGGATTTCTCGATGTGGCCCGCGCGCTCGAGCAGTAAGAGCATTAAAACATCATCAGCATGTGTTTGATATAAGTATGTGCAGTGGAATCAGTAAAGGAGGGGACACCTTATACGTCAGAAGTGATTATGGGAAACTTTTTTTTTTTTGCCAACACGAGCAAAGCAAATTGTTGCTTTCCACTTTGCTATCTTAACTGGTCCAGAGTTTCCTTTAGGCTAAGGATGACATGGTTGCAAAGATCAAAGTATTACTCACAGATTGCGTGGCACAGGAGAAATATTTTTGGGATGAGCTCTATCCGGCGGGGATATTAACCTTAACTAACCCTGGAATCTGTAACCCACTTTATTTTCTGTTTTTAGTCCGGCACCGTCTCCTTCAATAACTCGACCCGTCCCTCCTCTTCTGCTTTCTCCTTCTCCCAGTAATTTCACCTTGCAGTACATGCCTCTACCCCTGAGTGACATCAGCCAGGCGTACCGCAGCGCCCCCGAGAGGACGGAGCTGGCACTGACCAAGGTCGGCGTCGCGACCGGTTTGCAACGGAACGCGCTCATTTCTGCCTCCTCGTGTTTTAAATTTGCATTCAAACCATTAATTCAGCAAGTGCTTTGAGCCGCTGAGACAGACTGTATCTAATATTAGAGATAAAAAAGGCAGCAAATTTGAGACTATGAGATGTGTATCTGCGAGTCAAAGGTCAGATATCCCCAAATTTGTGTAATAAAAGCCGCATATTATTACACAAATCCTGCCCCATGTATTCCCGCACAGAAGGGTGAAATCGTGTGGATTCGCCAAATGAAGATCTTATCTCATCTTAGACTGACAGAGATGCTGAGATTACTTTAGCCTGAAGATCAAGGAAAGTGTTTTAGAGAAGTGTTTTCTTCAAACGCTCTTAAGTTTGCGCGCGTGTTTCCCAAAGCAGCACTTCAGATCGAGTGTAAGCTCACAACATTAAGAGCTTCTTAACATCTGCTGGGGTGGAAAACACAGTGCTGATTACTCTCCAAACTTGCGATAATTTCTTTCAGTCACTTATTTATTAAGGGGAGCTGGAAGCTGAAAACAACATCAGCAAAGTAGCATTTCAGCAGGACAAAATTCACATATTAGGCTTTAACTAAAGACTCTGTAATTTGTAATTAGGGGTGAACGATCTGGAGGAAATAATTGAATGTGGTTTTTCCGACAGATATTGCAATTTTGATTTGTGATATAACTTCAATGACAATTGGCACAAGTGGAATATTTACTGTGTAATAGATTCCCAACACATGATGGAGCGAATGTCACACAAGGAGGATGATAGTGATAAAAAAAAACAATAAAAAAACAGCGATGGCACAGTAGACACTCGAGCACAGATGCGGGGAAACATAAACTCTAGATTGAACTGTTTGACTAAACTTCAAAATAACAACATCTTCCTCATTTAAATTGCTGCAGTCATGACTGTAGGCCGCCTTTAATGATGAGAGGGGGCTCTAGCTTGACTCGTGAATAGTTTGGTTTAAATTTTGTATGTGTTTTAGTTGTTTAGGTTTTGTTTTCCTAGAATGTATCGAATAAGTGTAGCCTTGCCTGATTATCAAAGCCAATATTTAGCTTTTTTTTCATTATCTGTATTATTTTATTAACTAATTTCCAATAAGTTCATTTAAAAATCTGCTACTTTAGTTCTAACCTTCAGTCTGATTGGTTCCAGTTCCCAACATATAATCTATTATGAGTAAATGTTAACAATTTATTTGCTAATTGAACGTAAGTGAAACATAAATAAGAGCATTTTAATGAAGTTTGTGTTATTCAGAGGAGTGGTTGTCATTTTTCCTGCAACAATACATTGGTTGTAAATATGGTTCCATCATTACAGATGATTACAGAATCAGAATCAGCCCTGGAAAAGAAAACATGTTGGTCAACCCCGATCTCAAACATCACTTAACAGAGACCAAAAACAGGATAAATATGAAAGAAACTGCAGCTCCTGGAGGTTTCTGCTTTTCGCCTCCCAGATGTCAGAATGAGCTGTTTGTTAAACTGTGTTCAACTCTAAGAGCATTCAGGTGTTTTGTAGCATCGCTTCAGCCTTAAGGTGCTTTTTCTAATCATATCTGTTCTTTGCAGATCCAGCGCTCTCTGGTGAGGAACAACCAGACGCAGCGTTTCTCCCAGCGACAGGCTCTGCGGCTGCATCAAGGCCTCGTCACCAGCACCGCCGAGCAGGTAGCGCCCGTCCGCCTGCGCTCGCCTCTGTGTGCGCTTTTTTTTTTTTGTTTGCCGTAACACTTTCCCCCCCCGTCTGTCTGTTTCCAAGGTGATGGAGCGCCTGTGTGTGCGTGTCCAGCAGCAGGTGTGTTTGCTACGAGGCGTCGGCGAGATGGAGGAGATTCAAGCTGCTAAACAAGTGCTAAAAGAGGCCAGGAACTCTCGCGCTGTGAGTGATGTGAAATGCATGAGGGTGGTATTTGCATTGCTGTCGCACTGAATTTGAATTCATTTCTCTCCCCGGTGCACCAAGCTCTACCCTTCGCTGTGCGAGCTGGCTCATGTGCTGTCTGTGGACGGGCCGGTGCGCCAGAGACTGGACTCTTTGGCCGGCGAACTTGCCAAAGCTGCAGACAAGGAGCTGCAGGTAGATGTGAAAGCTTCAGTTTTTTTTTCCCGCCCATCCATACCGGACAACAAGAGTTACTGATAACCGCCTTCTGTTGCAGGTGATCGTGGACTCCATGGTGTCTCTCTGTCGTGAGCTCTGTCCTTTATCTTCTTCTGCAGCCGAGAGATTAAGCCCTCCGCTCTCGTCCGTCTCCGAGCGAGTGTCCATCCCTCGCTCAGCCATTCGCACTGCCCTCATGGAGAGAGCAGCGCAGGACATTCACAGAGCCTTGGAGTAAGAGCGAGGACCAAGCAGCAGCAGAAATGAGTCTAAATTTGATAAGCAGGATATCGATTTGCTCTCACTTTTTTTTTTTTTTTTTCACCAAGCCTCTTCCCGTCTGTCTCTCCCCTTCCTCTAACCTAATCTTCTGCAGAGAAGTGAAGCTGTCAGTGGTTTCCTATCTCACCAACTCCATCGTGGACCAAATCCTGCAGGAACTCTATGCCACTCATAAGACCCTGGTAAACACAAAGCACTTAGTGTACAAGTCTTGGAAATGAATGAGTGTGTATCCAAAGGTTTTGAGAGTCTTTTGTCTCAGACCCGGCAGGTGTCTCATCTGAAATGCTGGGAGGAAACGTGTGAAGACGGGTCGGGCTGGAGGTTCAACAGACACAGAGACTCTCTGGACATCACGGACGAAGAGCTCGGCACCAGCATAGTGAGTGTTGGACGGAGAGAGATGATGTGTGTGCGTGGATGAGATGATTTCCATCTTTCCATTTCTTCCTCTGTTTGTATCTCTGGCGATAAAGAGTCACCGCTTTCACACATCAGCCGCCGTCAAATATCCTTCTGCTGTTGAAAAGTGTTTCTATACGGTCGCCAAAAAATTCTTATGTTTTCTCTTTTTTTTTTTTTTTGACAGCCTTTTTATAGGAACAGTGTCTTTCAGATTTCTTATAAAGTGCTTTTCCTGATTCTATCTAAAACCTGTGGAGCTCAAAAAAAACCCCAGTGGCTTGATATCTTTTAAAACTTTCCAAAAATGACACAATGCACAATGATTATAAACCACACTTGACAGATTTTCAGTCCTTTAACTAAGGTCGTTCCAATAAAATCACAATATTTAATGAAAAACACTTTATTCTACATGTCTCGTTTAATGATTTGCCGAAATAATTTTGTTTTTCAACCTCTGTATAATAAAAAATAATCTATGCTTCTTGGGCCAACTGTGAAGCCGTGAGTGTTTCAGTTGTGACCAATATTTACTTCATGAAAATTCAGGGACTTTTGAGCTGAACTTGCCTAAACTGCAGGATAAGACTACAGATAGGAGGCAAGTATGGACACAGATGAAAAATATACCTTGTAAAATATCTACAGATGTAGAGTCACTGTTTTCTTTCCATTATTGTTAACATTTGTGGGCACTTAGACAAAAGTTGTTCATGTTGATTCTGATTTTTATTTTTTATTTTTAAGTAAGTTTATTTTTTCTTTTTGATGATTTATGACATTATAAATGTGTCACACTGCACAGAAGATATTTCTGAGTTCTCTCACAGTAAGAAATGAACCCACCGTGAGTACAAATGTGACAGGAAGCAAAATAAAACATCCAACTGCTTAAGGTTCAGAGAGTTAAATCCCCAACAGGTGCAGTCCTGTCGTATTTTGTTGCAGCTATTGCCTGCAGCAATCTCCTTGTGAGGTTTAAAAGGATTTCGCTCAGATATGCCATTATCTCTTCAACAATCTCCCACCAATAAAACAATTGTGTTTTAGATAAGCCCAGGAAATAGGAGAATGATCAGCCACTTCCCCCAGCGTTTGTTTTGCCTCTGAAAAGCCCATTTCCTCTTCTCATCTCTCAGTTTTTACATCCTCGACTCCTCTCTCCGTCTCCCTCCAGAGACGTGCGCAGAAAGAGGTAGAAGAAGAGACACAAAGAGAGAGGAGTGGAGGCAACAGGCATTTAACAAAATGAGACATCTTTGCCTGGGAGCCGTCGTTTTAAAGTGACGTCAATGAAATATGACGTGTGGCACAGCTGCATCATCTGTCCATTGTTCTGGTCTAAGCTGCTGCTGTGTTTTATGATCTCTGTCGGATGAGCAGAACAGCGTTCGTGACAGTTTACATTTGCTTCAATTCACAACGTGGCGTAATGTGAAGAGAATGGCCAGATGTTACACATGTGTATTTGTGATTTAACACACGCACATGCTGTGAAAGATTAAAGACGTGTGTTACACAAAGAATACTATTTGAAAAAGAGCAATGTGCTGCATATTATGATATGTACACATTTGTCAGTCCTGCAGCAGACATGGTTTGTGTATTCCAGCTGTGTGTCACACCCCTTTTATACATCACAGGTGCAGAAAAGCACATTTAAATCAATTTCTGGACTTTGGTGGATAGAGAAATGAGAAGAATCTCTTATTTTTGTGTAAATTTTAATTCTGGGGACACAAAGTATCGTATTATTTCTTCACTCTTGTGACTTTCCTACATATTCGTCCTCAAATTATCTCTGGCGTTGATCACATTTCCAGTTTCTCGTTTCGAATTAAATCCTTTTTAAGAGTTGTGTATTCCATTAAGTAATTGCGACATTAAATCATACATACATCAGTGGGCATGCTGATTAAGTAACCGCTCACACTGCTTGTTTACCACGTTATTAGACTTGAATGTCACATCTGAAACCCCCACAAAAAAACAGAACAGTGGTTCAGCTTTGACTAAACTTGCAGGAATGATGAGTTTTTCCTCTGGGTTTTGGCATTTGAAATGTAACGCTGACTTTTCTGACAGGAACACAGCAGTTAAAGGTCAGAAATTTTGAAACGCTCCTTGTCTTCCGCTGGAGTCGCTTTAACTGTACTTGAATTGATGATTGATTGTCAACTCAATTGTGTTTTGGCCTTTAGAAGCTTCCACTGATTGGAGTGATTGAAGCTTTGAATGTCTGCATTTCAAAAGGCCTGTAATTGCAACTCTGGAAGCCTGACTGGCATTAAATAGAAATCAAGTGACTATTATACATGATATCCACTAATTATTATCATATATGTAATCTATACAAGTACTCTGCGCCTTCATAGTATTCAGCACTTCTCTATTATGCCCCCCCCCAAACTTTGACCAGTCTTCTCTAAACCTCGTATTTATTCGCTTCCAGCACCCTCACTGCACTTCTGTCCCAGTTTCCAAATGAGTCTCCTGTTTCTACAATTGCAGTAAATTACAACGACTTACAGCGCAGAGCAGCCTTTTTATTCAGTACATTTCTACCTGCAGAACGATTTTTTAGTCATCTCTCAAAATGACAAAAAAAAAAATACTGAAACTAAATATCACCTCAAAATATGACTGGAGTGCACATCAGCCAAATTAACCTGAAAAACAATAAACAGCAAATCAGTGTTGACACATTAAAAGAGCAGCTCAATATTTACAAGACAGCAGGCAAAACTGCTGGAATAAATTGTTTCATTGACATTATTTCATCCCCATTAACCCACCGTACACCTCTAGCCTTGATGTCTGATTGACAACCTTGCAAAGGATTTAAAACATTTTTTTAAAGTTGCTATTTCAGTATTCATTCCCCTTCCCAAGACCTCTGGTTGATACAGCTAATGTTATAATACAAACCACTTATTAACTTTCTCAGGGTAATAATTTACAGGCACATTTTAGACATTGTAAGCTGCAGTACTTTGTTGTTTGATCAACAACAAATTGGACGACTGATAGAGATCAGTTTTTTTTCTAGAAGGAAGTAAACAGTCCTGAATCTAAAGCCATGATGGATCGAGTTTTTTTTTTTTTACCTTGTCAGCATGTCCATATAATGGTTCGTCAATATGCTTGTAGACACATAATGAGTCAACGTCATTGCTGAGCGTTTCCACCATGAAACTGCAGTGTACTGATGACACTCAATATGTTATCGTGTAGAGTTGTTTGATAGTGTTTGAGCAGAGTCATAGGTGAGCTGGCGTGCTTGAGCTGCAGTGGATGTGAAGGGATTAAAGGAGAGGGAAGTGGCGATGAACTGGTCATTTGTTATTTATTATATGGAAAACACTTCTTCATATACAACTTTGATAAATACAGTTGAGTTTTTAGAAGTTAATTTAAAGACTGGAGATGGGCTTTAACCCATTAGTCACCGTATCCTATTCCTAGTTTGCACTTTGTTCCGTCTCACCTGATGTGGGCTGAAAATATTTGTGTTTCTTGTATCAGGCTACATTTTCTAAAGCTTGAAAATGTAACCAACAGTGGTGCATATGTCTGGTTTTGTCTCTGGAGCATGAATTACTATAAGCTTGAGTTGAATTTTTGTCAAATGTAGCCACAACAATAGTGCCATAACAATAAATGTCACTCAAACATCTTTATGAATGGTAATGTGTTTCAGTGACAATGCTAACATGCTGATGTGCAACGTATAACTTCTACCAACTTATTTTAGCATCCTAACCTGCTAACTTTTGTGTAGTTCACACCAAGATGTAAGTACAGCTGAGGATGATGACTTGTGGTCATAGTTATGCAGGTATATTAACCAAACACTTTGATATAGTTGATTTTTTTTGACATGATGATGGCACTACATATAGAAATCCATCAAATTTGAGTTGAGATATGTCAATCTGGAGCAGAGTGATGGACTAAACAGTAGGGCTGGTCCGAATAGCAATTTTTGTTCTCTGGATATTCGGCCTCAATTAATGACGAATGTCCCGAATATTTGGGGACGCCACGCGGGGGTGGTGGGTGGGTATTCGTTCCAAAAAGACTTTTTTTAGCTTAAGACGTTGCACTTGTAAAATTCAGAAGACCATCTCTTCTGAAAAACAACTGTTTGTATTAGTGGGGGGTGTAATTGCACATTAATACCGGATCGGTATGGATGGACGGATGGGTATTCGCCCTACTCGGCTGACATTACACTCTCTAGAGATGCACCTCTATGTGATCTGAGTTCTGTTTCAGTGTATCGCTCAGTTCTACTTTCCAAAATTGTGATTCTTTGAATGGCCACTTGAGGCAGGTTTCAAAAAGGAGTCAATCCCCACAGACCTCCATGTTGAAATGCCCAACTTTATAGCAAAATTAAACATGTTTAAAGCCTGGTACAAAAACTGTTTTGGTCTCTATCGCTAGTTTCCCTATTTATGACTGTGCGAGGAGTGAATTTTTATATAACTCACCCATTTAGATTGTATTAAGGCTCACAGTTATGCATAATTTAGGATGTGGATGCTTTAAGTGGCAGGTTGATAGAGTCACAGGACAGCTGATGGCCCACCTCAGCTGTTTGAAAAAGCTATAGGTGACTTTTATCAATCATTATGTGTATAATCAATAGTGTCCCCTCCATGGTCAGGAGGTTTTTCAAATTTTTGTTCTGTAATATTCTGGCTTCTTTGCACCAGTTTGTTTTTATTGTTTTGTATTGTCTGTTTTTAGATGTTTAATGTGTAGCACTTTGTTCAAAACCAAAATTAGTGCCTTGATTGGATAAAACTCTATTTACAAAGGCATTATTTGTCCTGAAGGAGGAATTTTTTAATATATTATTTGTGTTCACTTATTTCCAGCATGTGCATTTTACTTTAATTCTATTCCTCTGCATCTCACCAACTTTTTGTTGTTCTTCTTTTTTCTTTCTCCCAGGACACAATAGCCATTAAGAAGCGCAGCTCTAGAACAAGACGAATACGACCTGTCTCCACCAGACTGAGTGAGTACTGCTGTACATCCTCTTATCGTCATCGCTCCCCTCTTTCCTGTCTCGCTCTGACCCTGTCCTGTATCTCCCAGAGCTCCATTAGTGGGTTTTCTGTATTTTTTATTTTTTTCTCCTTTTCCTGTGTCTTCATCCGAGAAGTCTGTTAATGGCTGTTTTTAATCCAGCCTGAGCCAAGCCTGACTCAGTATTTCTCGGAGCAGTTCACTGATTGTTTTAAATTTGATGATTCTGAAGCAGCAATGATGGCTCCCTGTAATTCCCCCCCGCCTCATCTCCCTGACAGTTCCTTCCTCGGTTTCTTGCCCTAACGGTCTCTATGATCCTCTCAGGCCTGTGTGACGACTCCAGCTCCTCTCCGCCCCCCTCTGTGCCGTCGTACTCGTCACCGCTGTCCCGCTCGGCGTCCTGGGAGGGCCTGTCAGAGCTGCCTACACAGGGGCTGCCTCTTCATCATGTGACGCGAGTTCGGCCTCGGCCACCGCGGAGGCACAAGGGAGGCCACATTCCTGCTGAGACAGTAAGGCGGGTCTGATCTGAGCACATTTTGACACACAGTATTCCAGTGTGCATTACTTCAACACATTTCCGCGTCTATTTATTTATCTATCTGTGCATAATTCTCCCATTTGCTGATGTTTATGCCTGCTGGCGGTAACTGCTGTCTTCGTCAAAAGTAATCTATATAAAGTTGGATGGCTGCAATTGGATTATGTCATCTCAGTGAAGGCAGCGTTATCCGTTTCTTTTATTGCATATATAACATTTACAAATGAAACCCACTTAACTGACCTCTCAGAAAGGGTTTAAATGTGTATTTGTGTCTGTGTCTGCTCAGCACTGCAGTGAAAATGGAGGAATAAGCCCGCTGGATGATGGACTCCCTGATTTCTACACGAAAAGAGTGCTCCCTGATAGGTAGGAGATGTTTTTTTACATTTCCACTTCCACAATTCTGTTCCTCAATATCCGCTGTGAACCTCTCGGTACAAAGCCTCCCCTCCATTTTACATGTTGAAACTGCGGATCTCATTTACTTAGAATTACTGCCATTTTCCAAAGCACACTATAAGCTTTCAGATTGAGTTCCTGGTTTCCCAGCAGTCATTGTTTTCCAATTGTTTTGCCACGCTTTGAAAATCTAATTAGAGGCTTCACACTTGCTTGAAATGAGTAATCCATGGCGACATTTGTCACCGCTAACTTACTGTTGCATCTTATTGCAGCTGTTTTGGAAACTCTCCTGAGAGATACCTGTTCAAGAGTAAATACAAGAAGACACATTTACTTAATCTTTGTCTTTGAGCTTGTCTTTCCAGTAATATATCTTGTGAATGATTTATTTATTTATTCATATTGGGGCTTTTTTTCTTTAGTTTTGGGTTTGTTTTTGTTTGCTGTCACTGCTTTCAGTTGTCAGGACTGTCTTTGAATGTTAACATCAGCGACATTTGGCGACAGTGGGGAGAATAAATAAGTTCTTTACCAGGAGGGAAAGACCTCCAGCAGAACCAGGCTCAGGAAGGGCAGCCATCTGTCCCGACTGGTAAGGGTGAGGGCGAAGGGGAAACCGACCTTACCTCACTGCAAGCAAATATTTTCTAAAACAATTCCCCTCGTCAGTGTTTTGCACCGTCACTGCACCCTGGGCTTAGCTAAGATGACTGTGATAGGTTTAACGAAATACGAACAAGCTGCACCGTTTATTTCCTCCTGTTTTAAAATGATAAGAAGGTGCAGCCAGACTATTCTCCAGCACTGACACTGCTGAAACTGCCATGCAGGACTATAGCTGCAATAACTTGACAAATGGATACAAGTAATGAGATCATTTTTACAGTCCAATGGTTGGATTCGCTGAAGTCTCTCTAAAATATAAGGTGTGCTTTGGAAAAGTCAACAGTGTCGGAATTAAAATCCAAGGGTAGCATTAGGGTGGTCGCAAAAAGCATGTATAACTCAAATAGGAGTATTTTTCATCAATTGATGAAACAGTTTCTAACAAAAGAAGCAAAACTGTGTGAATATGTTCAAGAACATAAGAGAAGCCGCAGTATGAGCAGACAAATCACACTAAAAGCAAGAGACTATGAATAAAGATGCTTTTATTGGTGAATTAAATTTTTGGAAACAGAGATTTTAAAAGATGGAACTGCTGAATTTCCTCAGAAGGATCAAATTCTTCTGCAGTGATTTTTTTTTTTGTTCAATTCACTGACTCAAGCAAATACAATTAAGTTAAACGTAGATTCCATTATTCAGATGTCATGTTACACTAATTTTGGTGTCTTATTGTAGTGACAGGTGCAAAATCAATGAAGGAACTGTGTTACATTTATTCTGGGAGTGATTTTTATAATAATGGGAACAATATAGGCCAAAATATGTGCTTTCAAAGACTGCAAAAACGACAATCCCAGCTTGTTTCCAACGATGGTGACAGGAATTGATTTCTCACATTTAGAAACACAAATACACAAAAATATTGAGCTACATAAAAAATTATCAAGCACCGCTTGTAACGTCTTCAGACCTGGTTTTGTTTATCATCATAAACAAAGTTAGCTCTTCGATGAAAGGCTGCTTTTGGTGCTTCATTCAGAATTATTCTCTTTTTGTTGAGGTTGCTTTGTAAATGGTCAGGTTGGGAGGTTTTGCTGTTTTGAGTGTCTTTCTGTCTCTGCGTGTGTGTGTGTGGATTTGATTATGTTAAAAAAAAGCTTCAGAATAAAAAGAATTTTTAACGAGGACACCTTCAAAGAGTTGGAGGTTTTATTAGTTACTGGGGGAATGGTAACTTTCTCTCTGTGGCTCACTTCTCTGTGAGGCTACGACTCTTTGAGGATTCTTTCTTACTGTTAAACTTTTTTACCATTTGGATCAATTAACAAAAATACATGTAAGCAATTTCCAAATTAAATCTAAATTCAATAATCCTTCCGTTAGCACGAGGTTTATATTCACACCCACACAAATACACTATAAACACTGTTTTTCAGACCGCATGAATCAATGATTCTTTTTTCCCTTTGTTGCGAACCCCGCTGCGTTCTGATAGTGTGTGCCTGCACACATCTTAACTGAGCCGTTATTTTAATTGGCTTATGCTTAGCTTCTTGTTTTTCATAATTCAAGAAGACTGCGTTTCTCTGACCAGTGTGTTGTTGGCCTTTGAAGTAACAGCGAGCTTCGGCTTGTTTAGCGTGTCCCACAGGCGTCTCACATTCAGAGGAAGATCTGGCAGATTCAGCTGTCCATCATCTTTGCTCGGCTAAAGATGATGTCTTCTTTTTTTTTGAACGATTAGTGAAGCTGGAACTGGCTGTTTAGAGCAGTTTGGGTTGTGTAAGAAGACATGATTGGTCGGCTGCACGTTGTTAATCCAAGAAGTCAAGGATTTGTGTGCACAAATGAGAGGTTGTTAAAATGGACTTAAAGAGTCCATTTTATACACATTTACAAGATAAGGATTTTATTTTGTTCATCTACTAGAATATGTTTATGTGTTTTAATTTTCTTAAAACACATTATTCTTCCTATAGTGTACATTGCTGCATCATCTGTTCTCAGCATCTGTTTGAAACGCTCAGTTTTAGCTCCTGTCTCTTTAAGACCCCCGCGACCAAAAAGCCCAGTCTGCTCTGATTGGTCAGCTGGCCTAACAAAACAAGGTGAGGTTGGTTACACACCGTGACCATAGACTGTATAAAAGATGGACGTAGCAACCGGCCCTGAAAAATGAAGCCAACCCGGAAGTGTCAAAAACCTACGCCCGCTAGCTGCTGGCTCCAAAAAGCCCTGACTCCCATAGACTTGAATTGGAAAAGAATTGATCACAGATCCTGAAATACCGCATTCCTACAGCTCAAGATTTTTTTCTTTTTAGTTTTCATAGTCAAATCCAGAGATCAGGTGGCCAATCTGAAAATAAATCAATACTGAATTTTTTAAAAATCGGCAAAATTTTGCGGGGCAAGGGGTGTGGCTGCTTTGATTAACAGTCGGCAGCGACCATACAGATGAAGCGAGGCGATAAATGTGGGCGGGCAGAGAGGGCCCGCCTCTCAATCCGTCTGACCAATCGCTGCTCCTATGGCTCCGCCCCCCTCCGACGATTTTTGCATCACTGGCTCCAAAAATCCAAGATGTCAACCAGGAAGTAGCAAAACCCTGGCTTCATTGTCTCAGTGCAGAAACCAACGGGTGACGTCACGGAAGCTACGTGCATCTTTTATACAGTCTATGACCGTGACCCCAAATCTCTGACTAAAGGGATGTCCTCTCAGCAGAAGTAGCTCCAGTTAGAAAATAAAGGCGAGGAAGCTGCTTACTCTTTGTTTTAGGGCATGCAAATAGCCACAGGGCAGGTGTTACACAAACGTGTAAAGGCAAAGTGTGTAAAGGAAAGCGAAAGCCCCAAAACTACAATATGGGCACTTTAATCTCACAAGGAGTTGGTGATTTTGTTAAATGTGTGACTGCAGTGTTGTAAAACATACATAATTTAGACCTAATGAGCCAAAACCTGCAGTTGCAAGAGTTTTGTGAGCCTTTATTTTGATGGAGCTAAATTTACTACCAGCAGCCACAACTTATCAGAATGATAACACCGCAGCGCATCGGGCAAGTCAGTGCTTTTAATATGATTGCAACGATAATATGAAAAAAAAAAGTACTCTTTAGATAAATTATTGTGTACCAAGACGCGTAGCTTAGCAACGCTCAAAGTGCAGCAGCAGACAAACAAGCGGCATAGACGCCTTTGATGAATTCCGTGACATCCTAATGGAGATGACTCATGTGTGGACACACTGTGTGATTGTGTTGGACTGGACTGTGTGCGTCACATTGGACCTCTCTCGCTTATTTCAGTCAGCTCTCCTCGCTGCACAAGGCGCACTCTCTGAGGAGGAAGAAGAGGAGAAACATGCTGGCCATCTTCGGTTTCCGCAAAAACCGCAACCAGACTCTGTCCAGTCAGGGGCTCGAATCTGAAGCCGAGGTTTATGGAGACGGCTGTCACACTGTCGCTACAGCGCCCATAGGGTTTGTGCATTTACACACTCACGCATATGATCTTCTTAGTAAAGGTGTGGCCTTGAACACAACACCATGTCCACGTGGTGCACCAGATAACAATACAGAACACCACAAAGCGCTCCATATTCTCATCTGCATCTTCAAATTTTCTGCTGATTTCTGCTTCTTGCTTCTTAAAAGGACAATCAGCGGCACTGAACTCCATAAAGACTCCGACAAATATCGCTCTAAATCTCCCTCATTTCTTTGTTGATATGAGAAATGGCTGAGAGCTGCCAAAGCGCAGGCAGGCTGATACCACAGTGTGTACACAGATGTAGATGACAGCCGGCAGCTCCGGTTCTGGATCCAGCAGTTAGCCAAGCGATTAGAAATGAACACGCTGCATGTCAAATACAGATTAGAATAGCGAGATATACGATTTTAGCCCAAAAAAGTGATATTTCTTAATTACCCTCTTATCAAAGCTTGTTACATTTGAGTCGTAACTGTGTATTTTGAATCTCTGGAACATATCAGCAGACTCTGTGGCAAATTTCCTTTCCATGTATTCCAACTTTTAGAACAGCAACAGAGAATGTGTACACGCTCCTGCAGCCTCCCAGGGCTGCTGCCAGAGCTGGATCACCCAGCGAGGGGGCTGATGGGAAAATAAACGATCACCAGGGGAAAAATACTCTTGTTTTGAGTCCGCCACCAGTGCCGGGCATCCCTCACCCAGGCGGGGGAGGAAGCAAACACCCCTTTTATTCTCCCAGAGAGGTAGGATCAGTGTGACCCACTACTATTACTGCTTATACTGACAGTTTGCAGCATTTGTAGCCTATCTGTTGCCTCTCTTTTTGTTTTGTTTTTTGCAGAAATTGGAAGTGGACGCTGTTTTTGACCAACCGCTGGAGACGGACAAGTACTGGGCAGACGACAAACAGAGGACAACAGATGTGCTGCAAGCAGACAAGCAGTGGATGGAAGGAAGGCAGAGCGAGCAGCACGTGGACAGACAGCGATTCGATGACAGGCTGCAAGAAAGGACTGCTGCAGAGCCGAGGACGACGGACAGACCGACAGACAGGTACTGGACCGAGAGCAGACATCCGGACAGACACGTGGACAGACAGTGGACTGTTGACAGACACACCCAGCGGCAGATTGACCGAAAAATAGAAAGACAGTGGATGGGCGGCAGGCAGATCGACCGGTCGTGGTCGGAGAACAGACCGACGGACGTGCAGGTGGACAGTCAGTGGGCTGAGAGCAGACATGTGGGAAGAATGACAGACAGACAAGTTCAGGCGCTTCACTTTGCTCAAAGGCCGCTGCCTCCGTACCCGTCGGACAGGACGCCCTCGCCAAAACAGGAGACGGATCCCCTGAGAAGCCCAGAGGCAGCAGCCATAGAGTGGCATCAGCAGGACGCGCTGGGAGAAAGACACACGGGTCCTGATGCAGGTGGAGGTTTTACCGATGGGTGGAGGAGCACCAGTGGAGGTGGAGGAGGGCTCTCCGCCAGCCGATCGGCTCCCTTGACATCAAAACCCGACCCCCCGCCACAGAGCAGCAAACCCAACCTGCCCAAGCTGAGACAGAGACATCGACTCGAGAGCTCAGACGCTCTGCCAGGTACTACTCAGGTCATATTTGTTCACATGCCGCCGGTCAGAAAGCAGATTTTTTTGCTTGCAAAGGACTCCTCACTACAATCTTTGCCTTAAGCATAGATGTCAGCCGCTTCTCTTTTATGTGTAGGTACGGAGGAGGAAGGAGAGGCAGAGAAGGATGCTGGAAAAATGGAAAGAAAAGAGAGAGAAAAGAGACGAGATTCTGAGGGTCAACCTCCTCCGATTCCTGAAAAGGTGTGATATTTAAAGCCAGTTTCTCCCACCTCAAGTCCATCCTTTTCTGTAAATCTAATTGCTAATGTTGTCTTGTTGTCACTGTTGTTTGTTTACGTCTGTTTTTCTGACCCGACACCCAGCCAAAGACCTCCTCGTATGTGACTTTTTCAAAAGAATCAGCCAATGAGAGGAACTTGCCTCCTCCTCCCGTACCCCCTCCTAACGTTAGCAAGTCCATACATGGGTTGCCAGACAGAGCTTCAAGTCAAGGTACCTGCATTGAAAATACTAATTAACTGATCGAAGCGACAACTTTTATATAGAACATATAAGCGCAAATAAATTAACATCTTCACATGGATTATTTAGATCACTTCTATACATCGTAATTTAAATGACTCAGTCTGAGAAACAAGGTCTAGATGCCTGCCTGACTTTGATATCGCAGTAAATGGTTTGGCTTTTCTTCAAACTCCACTTTCGATCTGAAGCATTTTTTCCCTGTATGCCAGAAGTAGGCTGGATCTTAGAGCTACATTACAGCCAGAGAGGAACATGCTGGAATATATCTGTATGTTCACTCACAGGGTGTCAGAGGTGCAAGTAAACAGCTCAACCTGCAGAAAACTTTAAAAGGATTGTTCACTTTCTTGCCGAGAGTCAGATGATACATCACTTTCATGAAGTCAGCAGCCGGTTGGCTTAGTTTAAAAGAGTAGATCAGCCGGCGGAGACTCCACAAAGTCACTGCTCCTGGCCAAGAAATAGTCTGGGTGCTTTTTATTACGCTAACGTGCCTCCTTGCTTACCTTACTCGGGGCTCTTCCTTGCATCTTAGCTCCTCTTCGTGTGGATGCAAGAGAGAGATGTGAGGACGGAAGAGCCGAAGCTGCCAAATTAGAAATCCTTCGCTCATTAAGGCCAATCCTAAGTGACCCCACTACCTATGACATGCTGCACAGCTGTATCACCTGACAAGTCAAACCGAAACTTTGATAAAAGTCTGCTGCATAGGATAAACCTGTGTTTCTTGGCTGCAAGCTCCTCCTAATACATCCTTGTCTTTTTCAATTGTACTCTTAAGTACTGGGAGAATCCTCCATGATGATGGAGGTGAAATGATTTAATGGAAAGAAAGAGGACACATGCGAAAGATAACTTTCATCTGCCATGTGCTATCTCGATCAGCATTGTTCCAGGGATTTTGTTACCAGGCTAGCAGTTTCCCTCTGTTTCCTGTCTTTATGCTAAGCTAGGCTAAATTGGAAGCCAGCTGGTTGGACGAATGTACCACATGGTTGCAAAAACCGTCAGTAGTTTAAATCCCAGCTGACCAGAATCTTACTACATGTGATGTTACCTTCAAATGGGTTGTTTTAGTGAAATTTTCTGTATGCTAAAAGCCACAAGGCCATGAAAGATTGCTTATGCAGCGGATGGGAGGTTAGTATATTGTAGTTGAAGCTGTACATAGTTTTTCATGGTAATTTTATAATATCTGAGAAGAATTCCCATTGGCCTTACCTTTCCTTTGCATTTGCTACATCAACGCTTGTTATAGTTAGCGTAATGCTTTCTAAATGCTTTCACTAAGCAAGGCTCTCCATGTTTTGATCACAAGTTTGCAAATTCATTTAGAAGACAATTTCATTTCTTTGCTCTCTTTTCCCGTGTTTCCCGTCTGTCGCCACTTGTTTTAAAATAGCCTACTTTTAAAAAGCTTAGCTACCTGACTGTTGACATCAAGCTTTTTTTGCACCAGTCGTGCTGATCTTCTCCTCTAACTCTCAACAAGAAGTATAGAAGCGTGATTCATTAGTAGGGGGTGGTAGTTTTTGTTCATGGCCACACAGGTGTTAATCCCCCATGGACCAATACAACCACAGTGGTGCAACATTGGTCTTATTAGAACAGAATATCTTACACATGACATTAAAACACAAATGAGACACAATGATTCAAACCGGAATTATTACATCAGTGCTGCATGTCTGCATGTGTGATGTCTGCTGCTTTCTGTCCATTTACATGTAGGCAGGGCCGTGTGACTGTATTAGGGCCGTCGTAAACCACAGGAAATCTTTATCACCTGAAATTGTACAATTGATTGATCGTGGTGAAAAACCCAACCTGCATGTTATCTCTAAATTAACTAAATCACTCACAGTGTGCTGAGTGCACTCTACCTGCTAACCTTATCACCCTAATGAATTACAAATAAACACACACGGCTTGTATTTGCAGCGTGATAAATCATTTTAATCTTGTTATTTTACACTGAAACCATGACAGACTCAGAGCTGCCCATATTCATAGGATTTTCAAACATAGAACAACATCAACTGGTGATCGCAGAAGAATATAAAAAGACAAGGTAGCTGCTGTTTTTACATGATCTGCCATGTTGGTTGTTGAGTTATGCAAACTGCTCTTTGCGAAGTTGACTTTTGGATCATCTGTTTGAACAAAATGCAGCCGAATCAATTACTTTTTTTTTTTTTTTTCAGCTTGGAGCCGACTCTGAGTAAACGTTCAGTAAATAATAAATAAAGTACACCAAGTAGTCTTGGGTAGATTGGGTAAGTTTAGAAATGTGAAAACGTGTTCGCAGGCAGTCTGCTCCTCCTAGACTAATCCTGGAAGGCTTTTAAAGTAAAACTTTTAAGCTGTTGAAAGTAACTCTGGAAATTGTCCAACCACTGAAATCTTCAAATGAGAGCGTATCAACCAAACAATGCAACAGCCGACCTGGATAATGCAGCTCTACAGAACAGAATCCTGTGCAGCTAAAAGTACCACAACACTGGTGAAGAATGAGTCGTATCTTCTATATCTTACACCAAAATGCAAAATCTGCCACCCGATAGGCTCGCCTTAAAGCACAACTCATACACAGCGACTCAGAACAGAATTACTAAATCAATGCAGACGTGTTGGTGGCAGAAATACGTCTGCATGCGTGATGGTTGTGCTGCAGGCTCATGTGAATGTATAGCCATGCATGTGCAGGGAATTGATCAGAGGAAAGAAGCAGGGAGGGTGGGATGAAAGAACAGGAAAGAAAAGAAAAAAGATGAAATAAATGCTTTGTCCCTCAGTTCAAGCTTTTTTCGTGTTTCGTGCATGTTTAGGTGATGAAGGACTCAGACCTCAGGCACCAGTGAAACCACAGAGGAACAGGAAGGCGATGTCCTGTGACGCAGGTACAATCACGCTTGATTATCTAACAGGCTCTACACGCCTTTGTGAACGTGTTTTGTTGATCTGTGTGTGAAGCGTCTGTATCTAACTGTTGTTTCCTGTCTTCGCTGCACTCAGGCACTGACAGGGAAAGCCCTAATAACGTTGAGAAGCCCCCAAATCGCAAACCCCCCGTGAAAAAACCTAGACTACCCCAAAACAGAAATAAGTCACTGGACTTGTCTGGTACATGTCTCTCTGTTTTTATTCATGTGTGTGTGTGTGTGTGTGTGTGTGTCAAATGTTTAAAAAAAAAAGTGTGAGTCAGTGTGTTAATCTTGTGGAGTTATTAAATTGCTTTTCATATCATGGATGCTGTATTTGAGTTAATTCATCAGTAGCTCAAAACAGATACCAGCGTCACCTTTCTTTATCTTTTTGTTGCCGGTCCTGTTCCACCTTGTAGAGAGCATCAACTCGGCGCCCGGTCAAAGCGAGCTATTATGATGCCCGGCAATCTCACCTGCCGCTGTCCGGCCGGAGTTGTCATGACAACCGTGGACCATTTCATCCAACGAGAAAACAAAGAGCGCGGAGGGGAGAGCCGGGGAGAAAAATACAGCGCAACATGACAGACATCATAAAACATCAGTCACTCGCTTCTGTTGGAGAAAAAAAAAGAAAACAAACAAAAAAAAACCCAACTCACTTTCCTTAATGTCACTTTTCCTCCCCTCACTGAGTTTCTTGTCTTTGCTTTTCCTCTCACGTGCTCAACTCTTTTTGTGGCTACAGTATTTTAACAGTATTTGCTACCTTAGAAAAACCCAAATGATCATCGTCGTGCGTGTCGGAGTGCTCGAGCGTCGTGGCTTTGCTAGACAAGAAGAAGAAGAAGAAGAAGAAGAAAAAACAAATGTCTTTATTAGAATGTGATTTCTTAAATCTGTAATGCATTTTTGACTGCTGATACAGTTGACTGCCTTGGTTGACTCTTGAAAATGAGTTGCTTCTTATCAAATGAAACTTGATGATTTATATCTAGTTTTGCTTTCAGGAACTGAAAGGTAATATATTTTATAGAAAAAAGTAAATATTATGTATGAGCACCCTCACTGTATGAATAAAACTCTAATGAAAAAACAACAATAACTTCTCGTGACTGCATTCTTATATATTTAATTTTGTTTATTACTTGAGCCACTAAATCAGATTACATTGTAATTAATAATCAATACTTTATATTAATAATGGAGCACATGTTTACTGGGACGTAAAAGGCTGTGCTTAGATTAAGTGCACAGTTAATATTGGCATCACTCTGCAACTAAAACAATTATTTGGACAATCAGTTCTCTGAGGGAAACTTAACTAACACTTTGCCATTTATTTTTTTAAGCAGAAATTCTCTGGTTCCAGCTTTCTACATGAGAATATGTGCCAGTTTTATCAGTTTTGCTGATGTTAAACAAAAAAGTAAAGTCTCTTTGTATTTAAGTCATAATTACTGTAATTTTTTTCACTATTTTCTGACATTTAAGACAAACAGTTACTTGACAATTATAGAAAATCACTCGTAGATGTCTTGATAATGAAAATAGCTGCTAACCTTTCTCTGAGTTATCTGACAAAGAATATTTTCAAATTCCTGAAAACACATCTCTGTATCAAAGCTACATGTGTATAAATCTAGTCGATGAAAATAATCCTTTCCTGCCCTAAAATGGCTTGGATGTCACTCGACCTTGTTGCTTTCTCTAGAATGTGCAGATTTATGGGCTGCTAAATGGCCTCTTTTTTAAAATGGCATCGCATCTGACAAAATTATGAGGTGAGACTTATTGAAAACAGTTTCTAAACACCTCACTGCACTCGAAAGATTCATTGAATTAAAACTAAACTTTGACTTGATGCATCACAACAAACTCAGTGATCTGAGTAAGTTACAAAAGACTACGGACACAAATGTGTAACATGCAGTATTACTATATTATTACACTCAAGTAAAGTAATTAAAGCAGCAGCAGCATAACAGTCAAGGCATCATTACTTGATAAGCACATTTAAAACAGCAGCTGTTGAGCAAAATTGCTTTCCAGTAGAGACATTAGGTCGGTGTTACAAATTAACCCAACAAGTTTAAATGTTAAGGTTTAGACACAACAGTATCACTAATTATGTGAATTTACCTGAGTAAGTTCAATGTTAAAGTTAGGAACCTTCAATATTTTATAGCTGGTTAATACATCCATCCATCCATCATCTATACACCGCTTAATCCTCACTAGGGTCACGGGGGGCTGGAGTCTATCCCAGCTGACTTAGGGTGAAGGCAGGGGACACCCTGGACAGGTCACCAGTCCATCACAAGGCTACACTTAGAGACAGACAACCAAGCACACTCACATTCACACCTATGGATAATTTAGAATCACCAATTAACCTCAACATGTTTTTGGACCTTGTGCAAGGAAGCCAGAGAACCAGGAGAGAACCCACGCTGCACAGGGAGAACATGCAAACTCCACACAGAACTCCACACGTGAACCGGTGACCTTCTTGCTGGGAGGCAACAGTGCAACCAACTGCGCCACCTTGCACCCCTGGTTAATACATTACATACATAAAACATAAACAGGTAAACGGCTAATGATGATGAATAAACAATAGGATAGTGAAAGTTTAACAGTCAGGAAATTGAGAAACGGCTGCAAGAGAGAGCAATAGAAATAGATAAATAGAGGACAAAGTGAAAAATAATGGTTACATTGTTAAAGATTCAAGGTTTGGAACCATTACGACAAATTTTTAATAAATTGTGAACGTTTGACTTGACTTCCAGGTTATATGCCTATTTTCTGACATTAACTCCAACTGACAGATGATGCTGATGATACATTAACATCACTTGAAGTGCTCTGATCAGAAATTTCAAGACTAATTGAAACCTGTTGTTGTGTAGGATCCATCAGTAATGAAGACCACGAGATTGTGTTGATTAGAAGACTTAAAAATGAAGCTGAAGCAGTACAATAGATGAAAACCCTAACTCTTCCTTTTGTAAATTAATCAGACAATGAATTACTTGTAAGATAGCTGACTGTAGCAGTTTACTTAGATGTGATCCTATTTGAAACAAGGGATTGTTGGGCCTCAGAGGAACTAAGTGCGACGACTAGAGTTTATTTTCCTCATGACGTATCTACCACCGTATAAAAAACATCATCTGGACATGTTAACAAGATAACAACTGATTTCACTGGAGGGGATCTTTAATTTACTTAAACAACTTTGCAATACATGATCTCAAAATAACCTATAACAGTTCATGTCAAGGCCAGAACCACGAGGTGGAAGATGGTGGCTCTGACGTGGCTGATTCTGTACCTGAGTGAAGCAAATTTCTAATGACCTAATCAATATTTATGCCGTCACCCGTGGGATTTTACCATGATTGAGCTTTTAGCAGCCGCTGGATATTTCCCTCAGGAGTTGGTGGAGAACAAAAACGGAGCTAAAACTGCACTAAAATCCACCAGGAGGCCAAAAATGCGACACAAAATCAATGTTGCTCCCCATTTGCTGAATGTGTAAACAGGTTCACTAATGATGCTTACCAGGCAACTTAAAGGCAACAATGTCATGTTTAAAGCTTGTTTCTGCTGCCCCCCAGTGGCCACAAATGCATCCTAGCAGGCTCAGGTGTCTCAGCATTGTAATCTGATGAATGTAAAACTGAAAATTGCATGACTCTGATTGTAGCTAATGAGTAAAATTATCTCCAATTAGATCATTGTCATCCTAACAAAAGGGGAACTCCTTAGTCTGAGCAGCCAATAATAAAAGCTGTAGCTACGGTTTCACGGTAACAAGCATCCGACTGCCTGGTTAGATTTTCATGATCACAGGTGGATGCTAAATTTACTTCCTGACTTCAGAAATGCCCCCTCTGGTTGGCATGGCAACCCCCCATATTCACAAGTCAAAGAATGTGAAACAGCAGGGGGCGACTGATCCTTACAAATGAGCCAACCACTGGGCGAAACACACACAACACACAACACACACACACACACACACACATGGTTTGAGTAGAGAGGCAGTCTCACAGGTTGTCATTAGCAACTATGCTGTGACCTTTTTTTTTTTTTTCTAAAGATGCTATAATGAGTCAGATATGAGTTAGAATACCGCCATGCACTGAAGAAATCCTGTTTTTTTTTTTTTTTGCAGTTTGCTGAAATGGAGATAAAGAGGCTGTTTTTTTTTCCCACCGACTCAGTGATTTTTAATGAGCAAACAGCCTCTGGGGTAATGCTAAAGAGATTTTTCAGTTGACTGAGACTAATTGCTGTGTTCATTAAATGTTACACATGTATATTTTGCACAGAGTTTGGAAATGCAATTTCTGCAACAGACCTCAAAACTCCCCCCCAGATGGTTACGGCTGCTTGGAAATCCGAAACTTAAATGGGTGTAGTTAATCACTCGGCCTCATCGCGGCTGCTTTCTGGATAAAAAGGTGATTTATTTTCCCTTTCTACCGCATCCCCTCCTGGCCCAGTCACTTTGCACTGTGCCGGAGCAACAAGCGAGTCTCTCCTGAAGCAATTGAACATCTCAAACTTTGATTTATAGTGAGATTAGAGGCAGTGTATTGGCAGGCTTTGCAACAATGACTTCATAACTGTACAGTGAAATATAACTGTGGTGTTGGTTTGAACTTTTACACCCACTCCGCCTTGAACGCGATGTAGGAATCCACGGTGTAATAATATTCCCCAAAATTAATGTGCCCGCTGTTATTGATGAACTGTGAGGAAAGTAGTTGCGGAAAGTGGAGCTCTGAGACTTAAAATGGGAAGATTTTGCAGCCAGACAGTTTTAACCGAACCGAAACCTACAAAAATAAAGATATATTTCCAGCTCCCCATCGTTTTTTTTTTTTTTTTTTCTTTTTTACCAAAACAACACAATTTCTTGGATCCTAATGACAGAACCCAAAAAAAAGACAGTTATAAGTTCAAGCAGCACCCAAACGGAGGACGTCTTCTCCATTGTGACCACCTGAACTCAGAGCTGAAGCACACACAAGTTATTTTGGCTTTACCGCTCTGTTTTCTTCACAGCTGATGTGAAGACACATCACATCACACAGGAGGCACCCGAATACATCCTACTCTTCTCATCATTCTTCTGCTTGTTACCAAGCAACATGATCACACAAAGGCCGAGGGAAGAGAGGAGCCGGAGAGAGAACATGTGTGGGTAGAGGAGAAAGATGCGTGAAAATAAAAAAGGAGGCAGGCAGTCCAGAGAAATGTGCACGATTGTGCTCACACAATAGCCCCCTCCCTCCGCCTCAGCAGCCCTAAAATCTAAATCCTCTGCTCCGGCTTCCTTCCGGGTTGATCAAAAAAAAGGCCTCTGTGACTTGTTTCGTTCACGTTTCAGAAAGCGTAGAGTAAAACTTGACAACCGCGTACGGTGCGTGTGCTTAAATTGGCACCCAGAAGGAGGTTTTCACCCTCTGTGCTGTCAGAGCAGCAGCTACAGCAGTTAAATGGGAAATGACTCATGAAAGCGGACGATGATAAGACGCAGTGTAATTTAATGTAATTACTAGCATGTCTACAAAAGGTCATAAGTGAGCTGTTCGGCTGCGTTGTCATGGGAACTGTCTCCGTAATGGGTGACAGGGGCCGCTGCCTTTGGAGTCACCTTATGGCCCTGCAGCCTGTTTGCTAGACGGAGCTGCTCAAACGGCATCAGTCACAGTTTTGTGGCAGCTAATCAACGTGTGCATCAACCTGCACGGTTACCGCTAATAGGGATTATGCAACTCTATTATGTAATTAGAAGAAAGTGCACCCTTCACGGACAAATAAAAACGGGCACCTTAATTACACGTAGCTACATTTTTGAAGAGTCGTACGGTTGCTTCTTGCTACAAAAAGGTCAGAGAGAAGAAGAAGTGTCTACAAGTAAAGGCAAAATAAAGATGATAAATAAATGACAACTGCAGATTTTGTGCGAACTGTAAAGAGAGCAGCTGCAGAAAGTGAAGCTCTTAAAATATGCAGATTTTGCTATGAGAGAGTTTTAAAACAACACAGCTTTTTATAGTTACTATCATGG